AAAAAAAAAACAATAAAGTGCTTCAGAAAAAGCACATATGGTAAATGATTGTAGTCATGAAATACTACATGCTCATATTATGGAAAAGCTAAATTAATTATATTATTACTGAGGAACAAGTGCAGAAGATTCTGTAACGCCCCGTTATTTTTTTTGTCAACGGAAGTGGTACCCTGTTGGAGATCATAGAAATCTTGTTCCTTCTGGTCACGATAGCTCTTGGAAATGTACTTGCCAGTAACAATCTCCTTCATCCTCACCCAAGTGAGGCCAGTCCGCTCAGTCTCCGGCCTCAGAACCCAATAGTCAGTCCACTAGTCAGAGGCATCACCGTCTATCTGGTACTCACCACACTCGATGCGTTTGGCATCTGAGCATCAGAGAACAGTGAAGATCCTTTCCAGCTTGCGGAACCACTCCGTCAAAGCTGTTGGCCCCTCCACTCCCGAAAAGGTGGCAGGACGCATGTTCTAAACTGCTCGATCGCACGGCCATGATCTTCACCCTGAGCGGGTGGAGCCTGCTGAGCTTGCGGATCTCTACGAGGACCCATATCTGTAAGACAAGTTGGAACTTTAGCCCAAAACACAACCACTAAAGTTCAAATTAACCAAATGAAATGAAGATAAATTCCTAAGCCCCATTTGAACAGTTAAAGAATTTAAACAACACTCATACCTTGAGCTGGCGTGGCTGGACTAAACGAGGGGTCATAATTACAAATACTTAAACAAATTTCAAAAGTAGTCTACAGAAACGTAGACCTGTTCTGATACCACAATGTAACGCCCCGTTACTTTTTTGTGAAAAATACAGGATTATTTTTCCAAAATCAGAGTTAAATTTTGTAAAATCAATTTAAAAGGTTTATTTAACGAGCGCTACTCAACAACTTCACATATCAACAGTTAAGATCTCACTTAACTAAACTGGGAAACATCCATCCAGAACATAATTCATCTCATGCCAACATGCTTCAATAGATATTTAACCATATGAAATAATCTGATAATCATAACATGGTCAAATTCCCAAGTTCAAATCTCTAATCATGCATTATATGTCCAAAATAAACATAGTAGAATATCTAGAAACAATAGCAAATAAGTCTGACATAAGATATGAATAATAAGAAAAGCGGAAGCAGGTAAAACAGTTCATCAACACATATATGACCCTGCCTCGCTCGTCTTATTGCCACGGCTACCAGCTCAACCTAAAAAGAGAGATAATAGTGGGGGTGCGCGAACACATGCTCACCGTGGGAATACCATGCAGTATAATCAATATTAAGACTTAGAATCATAATTGCAGCATGAACACAAATCGGCTAGTCTACCCTCCCTAAACACAACCACGCTCATGTGATCACAACCTTACCTATCAATCCTGCCAAAGATATGAACAAGCCGTCAATCCTGACAAAGACGGGAGTCATCGACTCAACAACGACGGGAGCAACCGCTGATATACCATCACACGGACTAAGCTCTCTAAAGGCTAGAGTTATGCCTCATAAACTACCGATTCACATGCATACATTGATTATCAAGCCAAGAATTTATAAAAATTAACATACATGATAAGGTTTATCAACACCCACCTGATTAATTTATAGCAGTTAAAGAAACAGTCGGTTGTTGGTAGGCTGAGGCTCGACTCCTCAAACACCTAAAATTTATTCAATGTAATATTTAAAAAATACTTATCCTGAAAATCGGGAATTAATACGAGAACTCATACTCAGTCGAAAAATTATCGACTAAGCAGCTCGTGGAATTTTATGGAATTTGGAACACTCAGATCTTTATAAAATTATATATAACTCCAAAAATGTTGAAACTTAGCAATTAAATAGTTAACATAATTAAGAATTTTCATTTAAAATTTCAGCTCATTTGTATGTCAATAGGTTGGCGAACAATTAGGCTAAACGTTGTACATAAACATGCTCATGACACCTTCGGGTTCAATGCTTTCTCTAAACTCATACACTTAACATTTAAGGCTGAAACTTGGTATTCATAATCACGACTCATGTAAGACATGCTCATAAAATTTTCACATCATTTGCATGCTTGTGGAATGAGAAAATTCGAAACCAAAATCGCATTGACATGTTGCGGCCTTAACATTTTTATTTCACTCAATTCATATCATATTTGGTTGAAAATTGACATGCATACTCTCAACACATATTTAGAGTCCTCATAAAAATTTCACATTAAAAACATTCTCGTAGACTGAGATAATCGACTTCAAAGTCGCAACTAGAACAAGGCATGCGAAAACAACTTGCACGATTAACTTCATAAGGTTGTATCACTTGCTATACTCATCAAAATGGCATGAAATTTCACAAGCAACCTCATAACACATGCAAGAAATAACCCTCAAAAGCTCAATTTAGTAGGTTGTTCATATCTTGGTCAAATTCCACATGAAACATCACATATTTTCAAGCATGTGAAGTGGTGATACTTTCAAACTTATTGCATGTATATAAACTCTTAAAGGCTGCAACTTGAACACATTATTATACACATAAATACACATATTCTCAGCTACTTGCATATACAAAAGTGAGCCTCTTACCTTCTTCAAGGGAACAAGGAAAACGAAAGGAAGAAGGTGACTCGGGTGGTGAGGTTTGCTCCTTTGCTCACGGCTTTTGAATGAACCCCGGTCTAGCTTGCCTTAAACTGTTTTAAACTCGACTTTAAGCTTCTAAAACAAGGTGTTGAGGTGTAGGAATGGCTGGTGTTGGCTCTCCAAAGGTGGTGAAGCTTGGAACCTCCCGATAGGCAAGCATGCACTCGATTGTGCTCGGTGGCGAGGTAAAGGAGGAGCTCTCTGCTTTTGCTGTTGCTAAGGTGTTTGAAGGAGTCTCTTGGAGAGGTTTTGAACAAAAAATACTAAGTGTTAAATAGGACATTTCTCAGCTGAAATGGGGTTATAAAGATGGTTGAAGAAGGTGGTCAACACTTAGACAAAACTAGTGGGAGACAACGGGTATCAACCCTTTCCAATGTTGGTCATGTGCAAGATTCTTGCATTCTAGCATGGTATTTTAATAAAAAAACAAAGCACTAAGGGCTGAGGTCTGACCGAAAGCATCAAATGAGTTGGAAGACAAGGTGTTACAACAATTGAATAAAATACTATTTTCCCATGCTAGCTACTTAACAATAAAATAATTTTAATCAAGTGCAACTCTTGATTAACACTTACTAACCTTACTAGGATTATTTCCAAGGCCATGAGATACCTTAGGTATTCTATGGCCATGCTAAGGTCTATGGTTCGAGGTTCGGGTCGAAATGACACAAAAACGAAATGAAACGGATATAAATTCAGTTTACGCGATTAAACCAAAAATTGCCGAAATAAATGAAAATTCTAATCAAATAAATCATAATAACTCTATCACATAAATAATAATATTATATGATCACATAGATCA